TCTTTCTTTCTTTCTTTCTTTCTTTCTTTCTTTCTTTCTTTCTTTCTTCCTTCCTTCCTTCCTTCCATTCTTTTCTTTCTTTCCTTTCTTTCCTTCCTTTTTCCTCTTTCCTACCTTTCTTTCTTTTTTCCTTCCTTATTTCTTTCTTCCTTCTTTCCATACCTGTCTTTCTTCCTTCTTTCCATGCATGTCTTCCTTCCTTCCTTTCTTTCTTCCTCCCTCCCTCCCTCCCTCCCTCCCTTCCTTCCTTCCTTCCTTCCTTCCTTCCTTCCTTCCTTCCTTCCTTCCTTCCTTCCTTCCTTCTTTCTTTCATGATAGCTTGAATGAGAATTTCCCACAGATGTGTATATATTTCACACTTAGCCCCCAGTTTGTGGAACTATTTGGTAAATATTAGGAAAACATGTGGCCTTGTTGGAAGAGATGTCACTGGAGGGAAGGCTTTGACATTTCATAAACCCATGTCTGTCAAGTCGTTTCTTTCTGACACTTGTGTGTTGAGATGTGAGCTCTCAGCTACTGCTCTAGACCATGCTGGCCTGCCATCTTCTTCTTCCTGATGATCATGGGCTTACCTTTTGAAACTGTAGAGCCCAAATAAATTATTCTGTAAGTTGCCTTACAGAATATGGAGTCATATCATAGCAATATGCCTTATGGAGTCATATCATAGCAATATAAAATCAGGTAACATGATTAAGGTAACATGATTAAACATTATGATATCAGTTACCCTCAAAAATAACACTTGGGTTAAGGGTCTCTTTTTAAATGAGTACAAGCTATAATAAATCATACTAGCCAATGCTAGCTTATTTCTCTAGGGTCTGAAATCAGTGTTAGGCCCACAAACACATTAAGTTTACTATATTAAAGAAAATCAATTACTGTATCTTTCAGTCTGTTACAACATGAAACTATTAAATGTTTCATCAGGAAATTACAAAGTACAACTGTAAAGTGTTTTACTGTTGGGAAGCTGTCACTATTCTAGTGCTTACTAGGTATTTACCACTAGCTTGTAAAACCTTCCATGCCAAGTTTCACCATAACTTCATTGACACCACATTATTGACATAATGTGATGAGGGAGAGTTTGGGGATAATAATAAATTCTAAAAAGCAAGTATTTTCATAGGGAAGACTGCTCTTTCATCTCTTCTGTTAAGATCTTTCCATGATATAAAAACATTCTGAATAATTTTTTGCAATGAAATCTTTTATTTTTCCCCCTGTGGTCTTTACTTATGCTCTAAATCTAAAATAGGCACAGCATGATAAGGTTTTCTTTTGGGGTGTATTTGGAATTACTTGAGAGGTTCAGCTCCGAAGACTGTGGCACTCAAAGAAGAGAAGCTGAGGAGACAGATTATGTTCATAGCACACTTAAAAACCTCAGCATTTACTTTAAAACAGGAGGACTCCAAACCTTGGCAGCATCCCCAAACTATTTCCCATCAATCAGAACGAATCACTCTTCCTCCTTGGTGCCCGTGCTTTTTCTACCACACACACCTCTTAGTCTTAGTACCAACAAGTCTGCAGTTGACCTTTTCACAGCTCTGCACAGAGATGCCCACCGTGGGTTTCTAATCCTTGTTATATCTTTCCAGACTGAGCTTTTTGTACATGCCTTCAAGGATCAGCTGGTCAGGAGTGCTCTGTTAGCTCTCTACACTGCAAGGCCAGGAGGCATCCTTAAGAAACCACCCTCTCCAAAGGACAGCACAGAGGAGACTAGTCCCCAGAAGGAGACCCCTCAGCTGAGAAGACAAGACTCCATACCACACCATTCTGACTATGATGAGGAAGAGTGGGTAAGTCTCCTCATTTCATTTGCTCTCATGCTTCAGCCCTAAGAAATACAGGGAGCATAAAAAGAAAGTTCCTCTTCTCATTAGCAAAATGAGAATTACCAATAATTACCAATCACAGCACTGGTGTGGATAGATAGGGCAAACTTTCCCTTAGGAGCAAGTTACATTTGAAAGTTGTATTTGTTGTAAATATCTATTTATTATCAAATTAATTATCTTTATAACCAATAATTTGTCATTGAATTAAGTTGTCAAAATTATAAAACCCGATATTACATTTCCTCATTTATTTCCAAGCTACATACAATTTTAAACTGTCTCCGAAGAAGAGTGAAAAGTTGCATCATCCTTAGGATATTGTAGTGTATAATAAATGTTTGCATTTTGTTAGGTAGAGAAATGCATATGTGCACATTCTAAAACATATATTCAAATTTAAAGGAGAGCAGACAAAGATTTCTAAAATCCCTCCTACTGGTGATTTTGTGATTAAAATAGATATTGCTGTTTAATTTAAACGTGGGCTGTGATACCATAAGCCTTATATATGTATCTGAATAATTACTGGTCAAGGTAAATTAACCGGAGAAGCAAACAGTGTGAGGGGAACTCTAGTACAGAGGAATGGGGTGGGAGGAACAGGAAGGTTGCATAGGTAGGAAAAACAGGGTGCTATCAATGAGTCTTAGAGCCTCTGGAGTGTATCTCTATTTATATTATGCATGTGTCGCATGTAGGCCCATGCACAAGGGAATCCCTTTGTTGTACCACATGCTTAAGAGAAGAAGTGTGCTAGCCACACTAGATGTTAAGGTTTTAGTTAACCATTCTTTACATCTTAGCTTGGACTTTAGGAGTATTTGAGGTAAAGTATTTGAAAGACCAACTCCCTAAAACAGTGGGCCAATGAAAAACCAACTGATCTTTTTTTGATAAAATTTCTGCCACAGAAAACACACCTTCAGGCTTCACGAGGTAAGTGCTGAGTAAGTGTTATAGTTGCTGCTGATGATTGTATTTCCCACATGGCAGCATTTCAAAAGAGCAAGGCAGATACTTCAATTTAACTTCACCTTCTTCAATTTATTCACAGCTCTAAGATGTGCATGCCTCTTAACCTCTCTCAAGTTCACTTTTCTCAACTGTAAAATGAAATCTGTACCTGTTCCGCTTAGCGGTTCGGATGTATATACAAAAAGTGCTTTATCATTTTATGGTGATGCCTGGACAGGCCTAGTCATATTCAGTGACAGGGTTGTTGATATGTGGTTCTTGGTTTAAATATGTGACTTATAGTCTTGTTATGACAACCAAATTTATAGCCAGAGACCTCTAGTAGTAATTAATATATATTAATTATAATATATATGTTAATATGTGTCTCTGTGTATATGTATATGTACATATAAATGTAGAATGTATAATTATAAATAAACAAGTCAGATATAGTTATATAAGTCAATCAGGCATACATTCTATATTTATATATATATATATATACATGTTAGTATATATATATATACTATTGAATATATATATTCAATAAAATATGGATTGTAAATTTAAAGAATTAGGGTGGGCATAACAAAGAAAAGTACTTTACTTAACCAAAAATTTTATCCTTTTAACAAATGATTACCATTTTTATCCTGAATCAAGTAAAAAGCTTAAAAAATGGATGTGCTTTGTTTTTGGTGTTTTTTTGTTTTTGTTTTTGTTTTTTTTGTAATGCCTTGCAACTCCTCACACAAAGTACTACCTTTTCCTAATACTTAAAAGAAGAGGAGGGGTCCCTCCCCTCCTTTCTTATTCACTATTCCTTAGGTAATTTGGGGGGATGTCTTCAGTCCAGTAGGCATTTGCAATGGAAATATGAGCCATGCTATATCCTCACCTGGAACTCAGACTCTTGTAGGAAATAAAACATATTAACAAGCATAAAATGTTGGAACAATGGTTGGAGTACTGGATGATAATCTCTGGCTATAGAATTTTGTCAAACCCAGTTTCAATCAGAACTGTCTTATGCACAAAAAAGAGAGAGTCATGTCACTGGGCAGAAAGTTTTAGAAAGAGACCTTTCCTTCATTCAGGGTTGACATTCTGCCTGATTCTCTACACTGCACACTGGAACCCCACCCCCAGAACACCCTAAGGCCTCTTAGAACGTTTGCTGGATTCAAAAACCTAGAAAGATTTGACCATGTTTTGGATATATGCCTAGGAGTGCTATCGCTGGATCTTGAGGAAACACTATTCCTAATTGTCTGAGAAAGTGCCAGATTGATTTCCAAAGTGGTTGTACAAGTTTACATTCCCACCAGCAATGGCAGAGGGTCCGTCTTTCTCCACATCCTCTCCAGCATGTGTTGTCACCTGAGTTTTTGATCTTAGCCATTCTTATGGGTATAAGTGAAATCTCAGGGTCATTTTTGATTTGCATTTCCCTGATTGCTAAGGATGTTGACCATTTCTTTAAGTGTTTCTCTACCGTTCAATGTTCCTTTATTGAGAATTCTCTGTTTAGTTCTGTACCTCATTTTTTAATAGGATTACTTTATTTGTTGCTGTTTAACTTCCTGAGTTCTTTATATATTCTGGATATTAGCCCTCTGTCAGATAAAGGGTTGGTGAAGATCCTATCCCAATCTGTAGGCTGTCGTTTTGTTCTGAGGACAGTTTCCTTTGCTTTACATAAGCTTTTCAGTTTCATGAGGTCCCACTTATTGATTATTGCTCTTAGAGCCTGTGCTGTTGGTGTTCTGTTCAGGAAGTTGTTTCCTGTGATTTATTTGTAATAACCAGAATAGCAGCTTTATTTGTAATAACCAGAAGCTAGAAACAAACCAGATGTCCCTCAGTTGAGGAATGGATACAGAAATTGTGCTACATTTACACAATGGAATACTATTCAGCAATTAGAAACGAGAAAATCATGAAATTTTCAGGCAAATGGTGGGAACTAGAAAATATCATCCTGAGTGAGCTATCCCAGAAGCAGAAAGACACACGTGGTATATACTCACTTAAAAGTGGATAATAGACATATAATATAGGACAAACATACTCATTTCTATACACCTAATGAAGCTAAGCAAGAAGGAGGACCCTGGGTAAGATGCTCAATCCTCACTAAAAAAGGCAACTGGGATGGACATTGGAAGAGGGAGAAAATAGGGAACAGGACAGAAGCATACCACAGAGAGATGTTGAAAGACTCTACCCAGCAAGGTACTGAAGGAGATGCTGAGACTCAGAGCCAAACTTTGGGCAGAGTGCAGGGAATCTTATGAAAGAAGGGGGAGATAGGAAAACCTGGAGGGGACAGGAGCTCCACAAGGACAGTAACAGATCCAAAAAATCTGGGCACAGGGGTCTTCTCTGAGACTGATACTCTAACCAAGGACCATGCTTGGAGATAACCTAGAGTCCCTAGAATCCCTGCACAGAAGTAGCCCATGGCAGCTCAGTGTCCAAGTGGGTACCCTAGTAATGGGAACAGGGACTATCTCTGACATGAACTCAGTGTTTGTCTCTTTGATTACCTCCCCCTGATGGGGGAGCAGCCTTACCAGGCCACAGAGGAAGACAATGCAGCCAGTCCTGGTGAGACCTGATAGGCTAGGGTCAGAGGGAAGGAGAGGATATACTCCCCTCTCAGTGGACTTGGGGAGGGGCATGAGAGGAGAAGAGAGAGGAAGGATGGGATTGGGAGGGGATGAGAGAGGGGGTTACAGATGGGATACAAAGAGAATAAACTGTAGTTTATAAAAAAATAAAATTCTAGAAAAACAAGCGGCTACTGTATGAGGCAGAAGTCTACACAGAATGGTGCAACAGCATCATGGTCAGAGTGAGGCTTCAGAAACCACTCTGGAGGTGGGCAAGTAAACAGAAGTTAACCATCAGATAGAGAGCAGAGTGCTTGGCCACTGTGGAGAGAGATAGTGGCTATAGACACAAGGCACAGATATATGCAATTATTATTAATGTTGATTTTTTGAAATTGATGACATTTTTACCATAAGTATAGTGAAAAGACCACTTGGGAAGTAGAGGTGATGATGGACAGTTCTAGGCCCTCACAGAATAAGAAATTGACTTACTCCTCATTTAAGGAGTCCTAGGATAAACGTTTCCTTCGCCTGAGACATACAAGGGACTTAAACAGCTTTGGTGAGGTGGTCTGGACTGGGTAGATGATTTTGGTTTTTTTTTTTCCACATAAAGGAGAGCCTAGTGCTGAGAGAAGGACATGGGGAAGATGGAAGAATTCTGAGAAAGAGAGAGCTTAGGAATTGATTCAGTGCAATATTAGCAAAGTTTGTAATACCAATCAAGATTCCCATTCTTGTGAAGGACCAGCCAAGGTGAACTGTGGTCTGCCTAGTTTTCTGCTCATCACAGGCCATTCCTTGGAAAGAGTAATTAAGTCTTCTTGATCATTTCCTCAGTTAATAAAGTGTCTTCCCAGTTTCTTGTGGTTTCTGTCTTGAGCATAATACGTCTGCATGCCCTTTTGTCCCCTTGCACATTTAAGGAATTTCTAGAAGTCATTATTTCTTGAAATCATAGAAATAGTTCATCCAAGTATAGCACGGTGAGAAGGAAACTCACACTGAGTAACTCCCTCCTCCAGGTAAGTTTATCTTTGTTTGTAAAACATTACTGTGATGCTTATATAGCATTCTTACTGCCATTCTGCAGCAGTCATTTCTACTCAAATAATTCCTCTGTTAAGATATTTAATCTCCTTTAAAAACTCAGTAGTCACAGTAGCCATGTCATATTCAAAATGTTCTTTACCTCTGACTGACAGAGTAAACCTGAAGAAAATGTAGAAAATAGAAATGTCTTTAGAGTTTTGCTGGTACATGATTTGGAATGTAAATTTGCCTTATTACCTTTATTAATTGCTTGTTAGAAAAATAACAACATTGACTAGTAATACAGTCAACTTCTAAAAGCAACTCCATGTTGAAAATGAATGCAATCAGGTT